CTTGGATACATTGGCACAGGAGACCACTTTCTAAATATAAGTCTAGTAGCACAGACACGGAGAACAACAGTCAATAAATGGAACCTCCTGAAACTAACAACTGTAAATGAAAGAACATAGTCCACAAAACAATATAACAGCCTATAAAATGGGAAAAAATCTTCACCAACCTCACGTCTGACAGAGGACTCATCTCCAAAATATACAAAGAACTCAAGAAACTAGACACCAAAATACCAAATGATAAAATTGAAAACTGGGTACAGATCTAAAGAAACCTCTCAACAGAGGAATCTTAAAAAATGGCCCGAAAGACACTTAAGGAAATGCTCAACATCTTTAGTCATCAGAGAAATGTAAATCAAAACAACTCTGAAATACCATCTTACACCTTTCAGGATGGCCAAGATCAAAAACATTTATGACAGCTTATGCTCCATTGCTGATGGGAGTGCAAACTTGTACAGCTGCTTTGGAAATCAGTATGTTCTTTTCTCGGAAAATTAGAAATCAATCTACCTCAAGCCCCAGCAATACCACTTTTGGATATATACCCAAAGAATGCTCAATCATACCGTATGGACATTTGCTCACCTGTGTTCATATCATGTTATTCATAATGGAACCTGGAAACAATCTAGATGTCCCTCAGCTGAAGAATGGGTAAAGAAAATGTACATTTGCACAATGGAGTACTACTCAGTGGTAAAGAATAATGACATCTTAAAATTTGCAAGCAAATGGGTGGAACTCATCCTGAGTAAGGTATCCAGCCTGAGAAAGGCAAATATAATATGTACTCACTTAAAAGCAAATATTAGACATAAAGCAAAGGATAGCTAGCCTACAGTCCATAGCCTAGACAACAAAGAGGGACCCTAAGACATACATGACTCCATTTAGGAAGGAGAAAAAGACAAGATCTCTGTAAATTGGATGCTTGTAGGGCAGGGAGAGGGTGGAAGGGGAAAGATGAGGAAGGAAGGGGAATGGGTAAAATATTTATAGCTCAAAAAAATTTTTAAAAAGAAAATATCAGTTATTCCATAAAGAATAGTCTAAAAATAACCAATGATTCCATAAAGGTAAGTTTTCTGTATGCTTATCTAATATATGATACACATTAAACATTTACAGCTTTTTCAAAAAGGAAAGCTAAATTTACTGTTTTTTAGTATTTGTCATACAAAATCAGTTTTTATGAGACATGACACTCATTATTCTAATTGCTTTTATGGCTTATCCAGTCACATTAGGATATGTTGATAATTTTAGTTGCCTCTAAATTCTGAGTGTAAGTATTCAAATGCCCAGGATTTTTTGGTAGTTTTCCTTTTATGTCAAATGTACAGAAAATTGCTCTCCGGGTCCCAAGGATAGAGACCTTGTAGAGAGAAGAAACTATTCATCCACATCATTTGGAGGCATTGCAAGAAGATATCTTTTATGCATTGTATAGGACATACTAGTGATTTTAGCTTGTTTATCAATTGACTAAGGAATTTATTTTTACTGAGTTAATCATGTGTCTTTAATAAGTCCTCTTATTTTTAATAGTTTTTGTTCTTTGAAATTTTCACATATTTTTTGATCATATTCATCCACCACTATCTCCCTCTAAACTCCCATTTGTGAACCCTGCCCTGACTTACAACTTTTCATGTTTTTTTAATATTATTAATAACCCCCAATATCAGTGAGTTCTTCCCATATTCATGTGAGAATTCGTGGAACCATCTACTTGAGCATGGCCAGAGAAAATTCCCAAAATAGTCACATGTAGTCCATGTAGGAGCCATTGCTTGCCTCAGCTATGCTGCTGAGGGAGAATGGGACTTTGGAGTCCTCTGCCCCCTCCCTATGTGCATGCTGGAATTTTGATTGGCTTGCTCATGCGCAGTTAACTATAGCTACTTTGATTTGATATATTCAACAGCCATGTCTTATCCAGAAGTCAGCTCCTCCCCCATTTACTGGATCTTAAATTCTTTCTGCCTCTTCTACTGTGATGTTCCCTGAGCTTTGGGGATGGGAGAGGTTGATATAGGCCAACTCTCAGTTGCTTAGACTCTGCACTCAGCCTTTGACTTGCTACAAGTCTCTGTATTAACAAGTATTGGCTGCATGCTTCCCTGACCAAGTTGTGGAACTCCTGGTCACAATCTTTTTTTTTTTAAGATAGAATGAGAAATGTAATATATGCTCTGTGAAATTTTAATTATTATATATAGTGGTAATAACAAATACCAGATAGCAATTGCTTTCAAAAGGTAGGAACACATTTTAGTTCAGTAAGGTAAAAATAATTTACATGCACTCCTGGCCCTGTGACATTGATAAAAGAAAAAAAATGTACTTGGTAAACTGGTAATACACTGACTTTAGTCTTATTCATGTAACAGTTTTCTGCCAGAAATGTTACATACTACTGCTAAAAATTCTTCCATTAATATTAACTTCATCATTGTCAGCTTTTAGTAGATGAGAAACCTCATTTACTTTGAGTGAACTTCATTGCTAATATAATTAAAAACAGCATGAACATACTTATTTCAGTCACTGTTCTGACATTCAGAATAGCTGACCTCTTGAATTATATGTAATACCCAAGACAATACATTTTATTTCTTTTATCGCATGAATATTTTACATGACATAGTGGACATTTGATTAAGAAACATTAAATCCTGTTTTAAGTAAAAATATCTCTTGTATGGCATTTCTTTAATTCTTTTTTTGCTTTTACTAAATACCTTTTTACAGTTTCAGTGATTTATAGCCACTACTTTTATGATGCCATTTATGCATATATGATTAATTCTTGCTTTTTGGCTAAGGCCGTCACATTTACAGGAATTACTCTCCAGATGTTTGTTTGTGTACTTTAATGCATGAATATATTTTAAACTGCCTATTGAACATTTCTGGTTGAATTGAGATGGCTTGTACATGACAAAATTAAGATGTAATTCCCCAATCCAACTCCTTTTGATTTTGCTAGTTTATAATAATGGCACTTGAGTTTCCCAGTTGTCTGTGTTGAGGTATCTTTTAAATGTAACTTGAAAAAAATGAGTTATATAAGGCCATTTTCATACATGTACATAGCATACATGAGCAATTCTCCCTCATTTCCCACTGCCCTTTTCTTTCTTGCCCCTTCTTTATCTAACTTTTCCTCCATTGAGCCTATACAATTAATGGGTGATTCTTAACTTTTTTCTGCAGCTTTCGTTCTATGTCAGTTTTTATTACATTGTATTACAATCTATTAAATTACATATGTATTAGTTCTTATTTAGTTGTTTCTTCACTCTTTATAAATGTTGTGTATGGGGCCAGGTGTGGTTACATTTTAATCCCAGCACTTGATAGACAGAAGCAGGTGGATTTCTGTGAGTTCAGACTAATCAAGGCTGAAATGTCATATAGCCTAGTACTTGAAGCTTTCCTTTTACTGTGGGTGTATATTTATATATGCATATATAAATTTCAATCTTTCAATGTTGAATGCACAGAGAAAATGTGTTTTCTGAGTCAGAATATTTTGTTTAATGTCTTTCCAGTTCTCTGCAAATGATTGCATTTTTCTTTGCCTCTGAATTCCTTGTATATGTGTATATACCACATTTTCTGTATTCATTCATCTGATGATAGACATCTAAACTAGTTCAGTGTCCTGGTTCTTATAAGTAGTGCAGCAATAAACACAGTTTAACTGCTGTTTGAGACTGTTTAAGTTCAGTCTCAGAAGGCAAACTATCAGGAATTGCGGGTTACAAACTGGTGGCGGGCACTAATACTATATCCACATATGGTGTTTCTTCATTGGGGAAACCAGTATTCTTCATTATTTTTTACTAATAACTAGGGTCTACCTAAGTAATTGATTCTAATCTCATCTGACTGTGACTGAGTGTTTGTTTGGGGTGTGCGTGTGGGTTTTCATTCGTATGTACTCCAGCTCATGTGTGGGTGTAGAGATCCAAAGTTAATGTCTAGTAGCTTCCTCAGTTACTCTCTGCCTTATTTATTGAAGCAGGATCTCTTACTGAACCCATACTTTGTCAGATGTCTTATCCAACTAGTCAGCTTGCCCTAGAAATTCAAGTTCTCCCTCAAATACTAGGATTATGGGCTGCTGCTACACCTGCCTCGTCCTGGGGATCTGAACTCTGGTCCCCAGAATTACATGCCAAGCACTTTATCCATGGAACCATTTTCTCAGCCACTGATTGTAGCGTGTTCAGGATTTGCTTATGGTTCCTTTATTTTTTAAGGACATGAGTTACATAGAGCACACACGTATACTGATCTTACAAATACAGGTGTATTCGTTTTTGACAAACCTGTCAGATTATAAAACAATCACCTTTTGTCCTTTCATAACTGATTTTCTAGCCATTGCAAGCAATTTGTTGTAATACAGGTAAGAATCCCTGTTACAGGATGTTATTTATGTAAACTGAATATATTCCTTTGGTTCTGCCTTCCTTCATTGAGACAGATTTTTGCTCTTAAACCTAGATTGGCCTTAACCTCATGACCTTCCTACCTCAGTTTTCCAAGGGCTATAATTATAGGCATGTACCACATCAGACACAATCTGATTTCTTTCACATACCTGAATTCTTACGAGACTAATTCATGTTGGTTGTGTCAGTGATAACTCATAGTTTTTATGGTTATGACCATGTCCTCTTAAATTTTCTGATAGTAAATTTTTATACATTTTATCTTCACAGATTTCTGAGAGTTAATTTTTTTTCCCAATAGAACACTTTGTAAAGCATAAAGTATGTGTAACCAGACAGAAAAATAACAAGTCGCCCTATACAAAGGTCCTGACATTCTGCTCTGGGCATGATACTCGACAGGAATCAATTTTCTAATATTTCTGTAAATTGCGATCACATTTGACTGGTCACTAAGGATTTAGAGTTAAGCAAATTCTTTGTTATGGATATATGTGTTTATAAAAACATTTTTTAATTTCTTAGGATTATGTACTGAAGGACTATACCGTGTAAGTGGAAATAAAACTGATCAAGACAACATTCAAAAGCAGTTTGATCAAGGTACTATAGTTGCAAAATAAAATTGTCTTACTGTTTTTCTTACTAGAATTTTATGGTAAGAAACTTTTATTTGAAACTTCTTATAGAAATGGGTATGGAGAAGAAAGCTTTTAAAAGTGTGACATATGGTAAACATATGGTAAACATATGGTAAACATATGGTAGTTGCCACAGTGCAGGACTAGAACTGGGAGAGATCTGTCTTCATACTAACAAGAAAGGACTGATCCTGGCATGGTGGCGCACACCTTTATTCCCAGCTCTCAAGAGGCAGAGGCAGGAGGATCTTTATGACTTCAAGAACAGCCAAGACTGCATAGTAAAATATTGTATCCAAAACAAAACAGGAAGGAAAGAAAGAAAGAAAGAAAATGTTGAATCTTTTATAGTCTTCTTAGGAAGATGGGTATTAGGAAATTAGAAGAGGAAGTTGGAAGTATCAAACTTTAAAAATACATTTAGAATAAAAGATTGGAGATAGTTAAAACAGTTGCTCTAAAAAAAAATACAGCATTGCATCTGTATTTTGATGTGTGAAGGCTAGAAAACAAGAAAGAACTTTTTATTGACAAGAAAAATAACAGAATTGATAGTCTGTCATAGGCAATAAAATTTATAGGTCTTATTTAGAAATGAGAATCTTTTTCATGCACTGAGACTGATTAATGTAAAGCAAACATTTTGAGGTAAGCTATGATACATAATGGACAATGGACAGTTTTACCCTATTTATATTTTTAATCTAATAAGCTATTTACAAATAAAAGAATAACAGAATCTATAAAGCCAGTGCCAGAATTAAAATGGCAATAAATTTACTTATGTTAGATTAGCAACTGTTATGTCAAAAATGGGACTATGAAAAAATGCTTTTTTAATGTAGCAGATAACTAATACTTAGAAGCAAATTTAAAAGTGAGACTGTACTAGTAAGGAATTCCATGTGAGATCAAAGATAAAACTTTAAAACTGAAAATTAAATTACTAGAAATAAATTAATATTTTTATAGTCTTTGACTAGAAAATGCCTAAATTTGGTAAGAAATCTAGAAAGCATAAATGAATAACAATTTAGGCTGCCTAAAAATGTAAAAATTGTGAGAATATAAGAACAAAATCTTCAAGAGAGTATAGAGTGACCTATGCAGATTAATCTCTTAGTATATATTTGAAAATATACTCAGCCTCTACCATTGACAAATTTTTATTTTAAGATTGTATTTATTATTAGTTAAAAAGATTGTTCATAATGTTGGCAGACATTTTGTATACCTGTTGTAGGTACATTTTGAGAGGCAGTTTGTGAATAGTAAAATTCAGATTCCTTTGTTTTAGAAATTTCACTTTAAGGAGTTTGTATTCCAAAATCTTTTGCATTCTTTTGCATGTGCTTGTTAAAGGCATTTGTTACAGTATTTGTAATTTTAAGGAGAGAAGGGAGAACTGCCCATGTGTCATTTGTATATTGTAGTGAGGTAGAGTAATTATGTTTGTTAAAATGCCAAAACATTACTTATTGAGTTGTATATTCCTGTGTATATGCCGTGTTGCCAAAAGTACTCTACCATATTTTTAAGAAATATTAGAGAAACTATTTTATAATGTCAAATTGGTGCAATTCCAGTTTCAGTGAGGAGGGCAGAGTAGTAGTTGGGGCTCTTGAATTCAATTTAGTGGTTTTATTTTTTAATCTAACCACTAACTGTCTATGCCTCAGACAAGTTAATCTTTATAGTTCAAAATTTTTTCAGCACTCAGTAGAGATGAAGGAATAAATATAAGGCTAATGAGATAATGCTTGTCCAGTAAGATGTGTAAATGGGTCGTGTTTTCTGTAAGTGATTCATAAAAGGGCTCAAAGGAAGCCTGCTATAAAATATAATAATGATTGCCTCTAAGTCATGGGATAATTTTTTTCTGCTCTGTATTTTCACACTTAGGTGACTTGTTAATATCAAATAAGTCTATGTTATACCTTTTATATGTTCTGTTCTTGTTCTTTAAATCAGCCCTTTACTGAAAACCTGTTTACTTAAAACATTACAAAGTAGAGTTTAAAGGTCCAAATTAGAATTGTTATACATAATTTGTATTCTTTGTCTTTCTATTTTCTTACGGTCTTAAAATAGTCTGTGTATAAACAAGAAAATAAAAGAATAGTATTATTAAAATTCTGTAATTCACTGTATGCTGACATATACTATACATTATTTGTGAATGCAGTGCTTTTTGCATGGGGTTGTCTTTCTCTGATCTGTATAGTTTGCTGGCCTGTGAGGAAAAGTGATTAATGAAAAGTATTTTTTGGCAGAAAGGTGCTTGTTGAGTTTATCTCTGCAATAAGTTAAAATTTCATTATATAAATTAAATTTTGATTCTGTCTTATAGATCATAATATCAATCTAGTGTCAATGGAAGTCACAGTAAATGCTGTAGCTGGAGCTCTCAAGGCTTTCTTTGCTGATCTGCCAGATCCTTTGATTCCATATTCACTCCACCCAGAGCTATTGGAAGCAGCAAGTAAGCATAAACTTTGTTTTGCTGGTGTGATGGTGGTGGTTTTTGAATATTGATTACCAGAGTAAACTATGAAATAGAATTTTTAGTTAAAATCTCACTTTAAAATATGTCTTAAAGGTACCCTCCAAATTTAAATAAAGTCAGGGCCCCCATGGATGACCTTAGGGATATTTGTTTTTAGCTCTTCCCACAAGTAATGAGGGACAGAGGGAGAGTGCACTTTGAGGGCAGAAGAGGATATTGAAAGTCCTGTTTTAATACTCTCTACCTTATTCCCTGGATCCTCTGGTCTCCTCTTTTCCCCACAGTCCTGGGTCACATAAAGCGGTACATGGTCCTGCTTTTTACATCGGTGGTAGAATCTTCTCTTGATTGCATAGCACTTCCTAGATGAGTTAAATGCTCATGGAAGATCTGGAAAATGGATCCTAAGGTCTGTTTGAACATGAAAAAAACCTAGTGCTTAATTTGCATTAATAGCCAAAATTAATGTAATTTCTAAATTATCCCTTTTAGTATAAGTCTTCAAGTTCTTTTAAATGGGATTACTTCTTTAGTTTTATTTTAAAAGTTCTCCATTTTTTGTTTTTTAATTAAATTACAGTTCTGAGCCAGCAAGATGTCTCCTTAAGTAAAGGTTATTGCAATCTGAGTTTGATCCCCAAACACACGTGGTGAAAGGAGAAAAACCACTTCAGGAAGTTGTCCTCTGGCCTGTATCACATGGACTGTGATATCACATGCACTCGCCTTCCTCTGTCCCACCTCTACACACATAAATAAGTGAAGAGGTGTAGAAAAGAAAAATAAATTTTAAAAGAGGTGTGAAGAGATAGCTTACCACTTAAGAGCACTTCCTGCTCTTGTAGGGGACCTGAGTTCAGTTTCCAGCACCCATGCAAGGTGGCTGACACCCAGCTGTAACTCGAGCTCCAGGTGTTCCACCCCTCTTCTTCACTACTGGGTGCCTGCAGTTGTACAGCACATCCCTCCCCACACAGACATCACACAAACAGTAGAAAAACATAAAAGTCTTGAAAATAAAATCTCTTCTTAAAAGTTTTAAGAAAAATAAACTTCTAATATATTGTCACAAGGTATAAAGTTGTCTTTACATATTTCCAGGTGTTATCTCTTGGTCATAAACACTAGCCTTAGAACTACTCAGAAGGTTTATTTTAAAGGCCTAGTTTAGAAGTAAATTTGACATAAGAATTTTTAGTACTTGAAAATTCTACCATTATATAAAGTAAGAGAACAGAAAATAAATCTCTTATCTCCCATTTATTGCTGTACTGCGTTTTAGTTATCCTGTTTTATAATTGCATAAACTTGGAAAATAACTACATTAAATATTTATGCTACTAGTAAGGGAAATATTTTGTTAAAGGAAAATTATAATTAAGTGTAGTATAGGTTATTATGAATTCAGGGCTACCTTGTGCCTATCTCTGGTTTTGGAAGTCTTTTGAACCTGAGGGGCATAATTTTATCAAAAGAAAAACTTGGTGACACATTAAAATTAGAAAGTTCATATTTCAGAAATTTCATTGCAAGATATCCAGTTCTTATTTATTAGTGTTATATGTTACTGCTTTTGTTGTTGAGCTGTAATTGTACATATAAAGACAGTAATTCTCAGTCTGTACATGAATATTTAAGAGACTAACATGCCTATACATAATTATGTAATTCTAACTAAATTTATAACCATGTATATAGAAGTATAATATGCTTCAAACAGAGTCTTAATTTTTGTAATAAATATTAACTGGAAATTTGTATTAGATATTTGGAAGTTTATTCATTTTATACAATGATTTCTCTTTTACAGAAATCCCAGATAAAACAGAACGTCTTCATGCCTTGAAAGAAATTGTTAAGAAATTTCATCCTGTAAACTATGATGTATTCAGATATGTTATAACACATCTGAACAGGTACTTACAAATAAAATGCACATTATGTTTTATACTTATAACCTTATATGCTGGGTAATAATAATTTCTATTTAAGGGGACTATAGACTAAACACAAGGTTCTGTTCGGGTCTTTTGTAATGGTTGTCTGTATTATCTAATTCATATCTAGAAAGTTTTATGATTACTATTTTGTACATATAATCAGTGTTTGTTTAGTTACTATAGTAGGAATTAAACCCAGGGCCCTCCACATGCTGAATAAGCACCCTACCACTGAACTATATACCCAGCCCAACAATATATTTTTTTCTCAGTTTTCTTTAGTAGTACTCTTGTGTGAAATCTTAGAATTGTAGTTTAAAAATGGCAGTAACCAAACTAACCAAATCAACATATTCAGAGTTGGAAAAGTTGGAATTTGAAGAGGGAACTCCTAAGTATAGTACAGCTCTTATGTAGTTCATTCACCTGTGTACTGTACTGTATTGTAAGTTTGTATTCCATATTTGGAAATTTTAGCACAAACTGTCCTATTATCCAAAATATAAGACACTAATTTTTGTATTTATAGCTCTAAATATGTTACAGTTGGAATTTATGTTCAGTAACAGTGGTCTGGGCGGGAATTCCTCCCCAGAATTCTCCTGTTCTCATTACATCATTTCTACTTCCTGTCTGGTTTTCCTACCTATATTTCCTACCTGGCCAATCAGCGTTTATTTATAACATGATTGACAGAATACAGACAGTTCTCCCGTACCACATAAACTCATACCAAAAGTTTATTCAAACATTTTTAGTGGCAATTTAAAGTATTCTATAGGGTTGTGGTATGGCTCACTGGTAGAACATTCACCTAGCATCTGGGAAGTCCTGGGTTTGATCCCTATCACCAGAAACTAAACTGCAATAATAGTAGGGCCCAGATGAAATCTGTCCTTCTTAGGAGAGACTATTCACAATGTTTCAAGTTTTGTTATTACTGTCAGTGTGCAATATAAAATTAAACTACCTTTATAACTCTTCCAAGTCCCCCTTTTAAAAAAATAACCAAAATTTTCAACTTGATAAATAATATTATTTAATGTTTACTATTAGAAATGGTATAATCTCCCCTTTTGAAAAAATGATTATTGGTTAATATTGTTAGTATTTTGTTAACATGGAAGCTGTAAACCTCATTGAATATAGAGAATGGCAATATCTTGTGAGTATACCAGATTGAATTAAAAATTGTACTTGATTTTAAAGATTTTGAAAAAAGGACAGGGCAGAGTATATTCAAAAAAATCATAGTACTAGCACACCTTCAAATTATCTTAAGTGCTGTATTCTGGAAGTGTTTTTGGCTGTGTACAATAGTAAACAGCACAGTCAAAAGCATGTTATAGATGCATGAAGAACACAAAGAGAGGGGGCTTGTTTGAACTGACCAAAATAAGGATGGAGAAAGTCAAGAGATAGAAACAATACCAGGTTAGATCAAACAGTACTGTTCCCATTATGACTTCTGGACTAACTTTAGTCTTTATAACGATAGGAAGTTTGTTTCGTAATATATAAACCTTTTTTTTTTTTTTTAACGATATGTACTATTCTTTTTTGCTAGGAGACCACACTCCTTTATGGAGAAAGCATTGTATGGTAGAGGCTTTTTTGTGGTCCTGAGAAATACTAGAGATAGAGCAGAAGCTGTTCAGACTTTAGTTTTAAAAGGAGCAGTCTACTGCACAGTTCTAGTTTTCTTTTGTATTGCTCTGGTAAATGCCATGGTCAGAAGTGACTCAAGGGAAGAAAGGGTTTATTTGACTTATGCTTCTCAGGTATCTTGTTGAAGCTGAAGGCAATCCAGGAGCTGAAGCAGAAACCATGCTGGCGTGTTCCCTAACTCCTGCTCAGCTAACTTTTTTGTACAGCCCAGCACTTTTTGCGTAGCAATAGAGCCACCCACAGTGGGCTAGGCCCTACCACATGAATCTTCAAACAAGAATGTAGCCTACAAACACGCCAACGGGCCAGTCTGAGACAGTGCCCCATTGAGTTTCTCTTAGGTAACTCTAGACTGTTAAGATGATAGCTGAAGCTAACTTGGAGCGACTCTGTAACTCAATAAGCCGCCCCCCTCCCTGACATATTCTCACAGTACTGGGGATTTAGCAGTGAACAAATGGAGCTGGGGTTCAAGGAGAAAGACAAATACATGTCATACCTCTCTTTGACAGATTGATAAGATTGTAAAGTTATCCTATGGAATGATTCTTTGATTATATTCTTCCACTCTTCATATCCAGTTATTATCAAGTACATCTTTGTAATTTTTCCATTTTCTCTCCTTTACAACTTGAGGACCTACCAGTGTGAACAGTTGTTATTTGCCAACTTTTATTCCTACCCTCTCTTGATCCTAATGCCAAGATGATCTTTCTAAAAGATCTCTGTATAAAGATCTTCTTAAATATGTGCCACATGTGTTCCTGGGTCCTGTGGTGGTCATAAGTGGGCAGCAGTTGCCCTGGAACTGGAGTTCCAGATAGGCTGGACTACAATGTGATCTTAACTCCAGTTCTTTGCAAGAGCAACTCATACTGTTAACTGCTGAGCTGTCTCTTCAGCCCCAAAGACTTTTCAAGATGAAAATAGTCCTCTCTGTTCAGGATGGACTCTGAACTGATTAGCACTAGCAGTTCTAAGTGGTTATACTTCCTTTGTGCATAAGCAGCACTGTTGATAGCAGCTATCGAGGAATAACAATTTGTGGCATATCTTAACATGCCAGTAGTTTGAAAGTGTGGTGCCTAAGACAGCAGCCATCTGAGTATTTATTAGGAATGCATGTTATTAGGCTCCACCACAGACATAATAAATCACAAACTTAAGATAGTCACCAGCAGTTTATCTTTGAACAAGCTCTCCCAAAGGTTCTGACAAATGCTTATAGCCACTGTTGTAACTCAGTTTCCCTTTCTTCCTGCCGTTCTTCCCACATTCATTATCTTTGACTTAACTTGAACCTTGTCCATGAAGCGTTCCCCGGTCACCCTAATTTCCAACAGATAAAATACCTTCAAGTAGACTCCATCTTATGTTCGTAACTTTGTGTGTGGTTCCAGAGCCTAGCACTCCACTGCTACATAGAAATACATCACTGTACATACTAGCCACCTATTGCTTACTAACAAATGGTAGGCTTTACTCTGACTGTTCGATTGAGTCTCTTTTTAACTGGAAATAGTGACTTTTTCGTAACAGAACAGTTACTTTAGGTAAGTGATTCCTATGTCTGGGAGTTTCCTTTGGTTTGTGTTTTTTGTTTGTTTTATTTTTTATTATTCTTTTTTTTTTTTAATCTTGAAGATTTTCTTGTTATGCTACAGACTTCTGGACAGTTTTTCTTCTGTAGCTTAGGCTGACCTGGGATCCATTATGCTACTACTTCAGCCTCCTGAGAACTGGTCTTACAGATGTGTACTACTGTGTCCAGTTTGATGTGTTTCTTTATGTGTAAAATAAGAGGGTTGAATACAGTATCACACTTAGTGTAATAATTTATATTTTATAGTCTACGGTTTGCTTTTTACATGTCTTGCTTCCTAGAAGTGGTGATAAGCAAGGAGTGCTTGCTCAGCTATTTAAAGGGCTGGGTAAAAATAATTTTAAACTCTGTGACTACTTGTAACTTGCTTTTAAATTGTGATAAATTTTAAAGTAGAATTTGTTGAATGTTGTTTAACAGCGTACAAAATAATGTTTTTAAAGAACTGTTCCTAGTGTGCTAGGAGCTAACTTTCTTGAAATTTAAAAATATTCTTGGCTGGATAGGTTATGCTAAGTATTCCAAAGATGGTTTAAATGAGAAGACATACCCTGAGTTTTGGGTTTCTCTGTTTAGCCCTGCCTGTCCTGGAACTCACACTATAGATCAGGCTTGCTGGCCTCAAACTTAGAAATCTGCCTGCTTCTGCCTCCAGAGTGCTGGATTAAAGGTGTACGCCACTACCACCTGGCCCTGATTGATTCCTTAATCTCCCACAGTAGTCTAAAAATTTGGATCCACAGTTAGAACCCGCTGTTTTGAATGGTGTTTTTCAAACTGAAAAGGCTTCCTGTGTAAACCTTTAAGCCCTGGGGTGCAGCATATTTTAGACTATCTGACCTTCTCACAGGAATATACATTGTTGCTCTCTTGTTTTAGAATATAGTTGAATAGATAATGCTAAGAAAAAAATCTTAACTTGAAGATAAATTAGCCTAAATGGTAAGCTAGCTTTGGGATTCTGTAATTTCAATGAGTTCTGATTTCTTTTTTTCCTCATTTCATAATTTCAGGGTTAGTCAGCAAAATAAAATCAACCTAATGACAGCAGACAACTTATCCATCTGCTTTTGGCCGACTTTGATGAGACCTGATTTTGAAAATCGGGAGTTCCTGTCTACCACTATAATCCATCAATCTGTCCTTGAAAGATTCATTCAACAGTGTCAGTTTTTCTTTTACAATGGAGAAATTGTAGAAACTACGAACACTGTGGCTCCTCCCCCACCCACAAATCCAGGACAATTGGTGGAGTCAATGGTACCACTTCAGTTGCCACCACCATTGCAACCGCAGCTCATTCAACCACAATTGCAGACAGATCCTCTTGGTATTATATAAACAGAATGTGATTGCAAATGGCCTGAAATTGGACCAAAGCAAATCTAGCCATGCATGGTTGAGGGTTTAGTAGTATATTTCATTTTTCATAGAGATAATCCACATTCAAAATGATGAGACATTTTCTCTTTGAACTATGTGGTATTCCCTGTTAACTTACATTGCAAACCTAAAAATGTGGTAAGCATGACTGGAGAGGTTTAATTTTTATAAACAAAAAATAGTTATAAAAATGCAAAGCTGCTGCTGCATGCAACCTTATTGCAATCAGTATATCATTCCTGTGGCGATTTTTGTCACATTATATTGTGAATAAAATTTTTCTATAGAAATTAAATGATTTAAAACTCATATATGAAATGTTTAATGCTTTCAGCCTGCTTTATGGCTGGTTTTGTTATTTGATGTGCTAATTTGGGAACTTAATTCACATTCAAGCAGTCTGTATAGATAACTAAAGCCCAGTTAAGTATTTTATAATTTCAGGCTGCTATGCCATGCTTGGGATGTTGTTTGAAAGAAAGAAAAAAATACATGTAACATATTTCACATTTCTGCACCTTCATCTTCTAAGTAAATCTGTGGATGATTTGATGAGGAGTGAATGAACCTGTTTCCTGTACTCACATACCAACGACACACTTGTGGTTAAAGTGAGTGGATAATGTGGTGTAAAGGATGGCTGTCCCCAACTCATTTCTTTATGATCTCTAATGAAAAATACATTTTGTATACGGTTAATTCTGTAAACAGATGCATGTTCAAAAGATCTATGATGGTCTTGTAATCTTGATCTAATATATTTTAGATATTTTAATTTTTCCCTCTTGGGAAATACATTTAGTATAGTGTAGAAAAATACTTCATGACATTTTCATATAAGGTTATATAACTTTTCATACATAAACATGAAATTTGTTGTAGAAAAATTCTTTAAACCAAACATTTAATCTAGGACTTCAATTTAATCTGTTCCTTGAATCTATTTTTATGTGGCCCTTGAGAGTATATCCCAAAAAAAAACCCATTGCTAATACAGCAATAAAAATACTTTGGGTACTGACAGACTTCTTGGAGTATGTATATATAAAATCACAAACATGTATTCATATTCTTTCTGTGATATGTTGTTCTACAGTCCAGAATGGCTTTTGCACCATTTTTAAACCAGTTTTCCCCTTTGTTGTTGGTACCAGAGTTGCTATAAATGACTGCTGCTTTAGGGGGGTTAAATATTTTGTTAGTGGAGATACAACCAGAACACTAAATTATGATCAAACTTTCTGACTGGATAACAGGTAAATTTAGTTGGGCTATTCAAAATTATTTTATCAAAACCATATCATTTGTTTTACTGGAAAAAGGAAAATGGTTTGTTTTTACTGCTGGGTCATATTTTGTGTAGTAAAGAGAAAAAATTCTTTGGTCAATATTGTAATCTTTATATTTCACCATTAAGGTTTCCTTATTTGTATTATAGTAAATCAATAATTTTGAGATTCAAGGCTCCTAAGAGTTTGATTTGCTCCATTTTGTCTTAAAATAAATATTCTTTTCCGATTGTTATATCTTAGATATTATACTTCCAATTTCAACCAAGATGAACCAGGCTACTGTTGAAGTACATGTATATTATAAATTATCTTATTTGTGTTATACTCTTACATGTTATTATCTTTTCTAAGAGAACAAAGTCCCTATTATTCCTATAGCAAAGCACACAGGAATTAAGAAAGTACAGTAATTTTTAAAAAAGAATATCCGGTAAATGTAGTATTCTTAACTTGTTCTATATTACTTATACCTATGTCTATATAGCTTTAATTTATAGCCGTCAGTTTAACATTGGCATGTCTGGCAAAGAAAATTAAACTTTAAGAGTTTTATAAACTGTTTCTAGGTTGCTAAAGAATTTATTTTTCTACTATAAATGGTATAGACAAAGCATCAACTATGTACAGGAAAAAAGCCTGAATATTTCTATTGGAAGTAGGCTTAAAAGAGAATTTTCAGAACTGTTCATATCTTTGGTTCATTCTGTCCTAACTTTACTATTGTAATATGTGAGTTCCAATTTATTTAAGCTATTCTCTTTTATAATGTGTTAATTTAACATTCGTTTACGCTTTGAACTATTTTTGTTACTAAAATTAACATTTATAAGTTTCCACATTAACCACCTTAACACCTTTCCCAGAACTGATCTCTCCCTTTTCTGTGCATTCTCTCATTGACCTGACACACTGCATAGTGAACCACTAATATTCTCCATCTGGTTCATTTTACTAGTAGGTTACAGATACTGAAAATTAAAGTGCGGTTTAAAGCTCAGTCTGTGACACTGACTTGTGTTTGTTTTTGGCCAAGGGTATAGATGTGTTTTTAAACCCTAGGAAAGCAATTCTAAGGGAGTAACATAATGAATCCTTTGTTACTTTTAAGTCACTGGAACTTCCACTGTTTAGGAATAAACATATACGCATGTGTATATGAGACTTAATGGGTTAAAAGGATTAGTAGATAGTCTTACAATTATGGGTCACCATTAAGACATTTCACAATATTAAAAAATTACATGTATACATGTTGCCATTGTTTTATTTAAAATTGAGTGTTTATTCTGATATCAGGCTCAATAGTATTTAGATAAACAATATAAAGAAGCATAGAGAGGTCTGTTTCAGACTTTGAGTAGATTTTTTTAAATAAGTCGAATTCTGTCAATAAGCACTTGTCAGGGTATACTGATACCATCTGAACAAAATTCCAGGTACACTACATTTGTTTAAAGTGATATTTTTAGTAGTACTTCCCACCCTAACATTTACAGTGTAAATACTGTAGGTAACAGCCATCTAACTTAGCCAAAACAGCAGCTCTTATTTTCCATATTATATGTAAATACTAAAGACTTTTGGTTTTTGTTTTATTTTGAGGTACTAAAATTTAGTTCCTAATATCTCTTAGCTATAAACAAAGGGGACATTTGAAATAAAAACTTAGGCCTTAGCTTCCATGGTTATTTTTACTTTTTTTTATAGAGTAATAATTGTGATGCTTTTTGTCAACTGAATATAAATATGTGTAAATATAATTTTTAAAAATCAAAAGTGGTTTGTTTCTTTCTATAGTTAATATAATTTTGTGCTTTACCCAGATGATGTACAGTAATTTCAGTATCAGTAAAGGACCAGTTTAGTGAATGCTCTGAATAAAACATTAAGGAGCTATGCAAGAAGTTTAAGTTAAAGTTGCCTGTTTTTGCCACTTTGTTGATAAAAATCAACCAATTTTAGGTAAAATGGGAATGTTTAAAATTTTTTATTAGTAAAAATTTTACTGGATGGTTTTATTGTTGGACTTTCCTTATACCATGAAAGGAAATCAAAAACTCATTCTGGGTATATGAACATAAGTTTTTAAAAATAGCAGGGACTGAGTATACGTGGCTCAGTTGATAGAGTGCTTGCTTAAATTGCATGAAGACCTGGATTCAGCCTCCAGCACTACATAAACCAAGCCTGCTGACACATATCTATAGTCCTAGCACACAGAAGATAGAGGCAGACGAATCAGAAGTTTGGAATCCTCCTTCACTTCATTGTGAGTTTGAACACAGCCTGGAACACATTAGACCCTGCCTTCCAAAATAAATAAATAAATAAATAAATAAATAAATAAATAAATAAATAAGACAACAAGATAAAGCATACACATGAATCTGGAGTTTGAGAGGCATTCTTTGAAACCACTGGAAATATTTTTAAACCTGTTCTAAACAAGGCAGTGGTGGCACACGCCTTTAATCCCAGCACTCTGGAGACAGAGGCAGGTGGGTCTCTGAGTAAGAGGCTATGTGAGTTCCAGGGTAGCCAGGACTGTTAATATACCTTTCTCAAAAGTTTTTAAAAAAAAAACTCTTCTAGTTATAAAATAACTCTTAATATTGGAAAATGGATGTTTTGCTTTCTTTTCATGGTTTAAAAATAGCATAATCCCAACTTTATGTGTTTGTATTGTCAAATTCTGTAGATTTAGTGAGTTCTCTTTGATTTTTTGTGTATGTCTTGCATTTGAATTCTTAGCCTTTTCCAGTTACCAAATATCTAAAGATAAAAGTTACCAGGTATCTGAAGATAAAAGTATTAATTACGGAAAACACCATTCTTCAAAACCATTTCCTTGGGTCTCCTGAGATGACTCTGGTTAAGCACATTTACTGCTTTTCCGGAGGACCCAAGTTCAGTTCCTTGCACTCAGATCAGGCTGTTCAATAAACTGTAACTCCAGCTCTAGGGGATCTGTCACCCCCTTCAGTTCTTGACAGGCAACCGCACTCACATGCACATACCCATTCACATAAGATTTAAAAATAAAAACTGCACTAAAAAAATTAAAGATAGCCTCTCTTTATTTTGCCCCGTCTTCTTACATCCAGTGATGTGCTGTGTTACAAGTACCAATAGTCTTTATAACAGTTTGAATCTAGCTTTAATGAGCTTGAGAGATCTTCACTATTTAGTTGACTCACCATCCTGTATGTATGATCATGCCATAGACATATGCTATTGTTACCTTTTTCTGGAGGATGGAGATATGAAGAACTACAGAATTTCATATTCCTGTCTTAGTTGAATGATGTAAAATTAGTTTTCATGAACATTTTAGTGGTAGCCAGAATGATTTTGAAAATCAAGTGAATGTCAGTAAAAGTTAACATTTTTATGTTAAGTATAAAACAAAATTATAGTCCTTGAAATTAATAAAACGTTGAAAGTTTTTGTTTACCAGTTGTTAGAAATGTTAAAGTTTGCAAATATATATTTGTATGTGTTTATATGCATATATATTTCATATATACATCTGTAAGTATCTGTCAGAGAATTTGTGGTTGAAAACCCAAATTTGTTAATCCCCAGTACAGATATTCTGTTCAATTTTATTTTCTTGAAATAGTAAAGTTGATGTAAGTAATTTAGTAATGACACTCCTATCATTATTACAGTTTGGTATTTGTTTTAAAATTTAGTGTTTTAATTTTTCAATTTTATTTTTATATTGTTTTATTTCAATGTAGGTAATAACGATTTAGCAACTGATTCGTGAAATCTTTTTAATTATATATCCTCACTAGATCGTTTTATTGTGTACTTGAATTGTGAATGCTTTGGTCAGTATTTTCTAAGTCTAAAAATATTTTATTAGTTTTACATTTGGAGCTTAGTTTACTTTTCTCCTGATTCTTGTTAATTTCATTTTGTCCAAATAAATTTAGATGTTCAAGAAGCAGACATAACACTGGTTCCTTAAAATAATCACAAGGTCCAGAATCATTATGTATCATTCTTATTACTTGTGCAGGACTCCAAATTACTTAAAGGCAATCCAAAAGCAAGCTGTCTTCCAGGTTTACTGCTTTAAGATTTTGCCTCTAGACCTCCCTTTTGTGGGCAGTCATTCATGACTGCTGAATTTTTTTTCAACTGGAGTATTTTAAGTGAAATTTCTACCAGTATACTTTTAAAAATGCAAACTTTTATCTAGTACTTCAGTTACAGAATAACTTGGGTTTCCTTAAAATTACTATTTTCATGGTGTAGATTAAGAATTAATTTTCCCTTTTAGGAAATCAGATAATAAATATACTAAACTTTGCAAGCCAAATGATCACTATAGCACTAATCTCTACTACTCTGGTGTGTGAGTAGCCACTCGGGAGGCAGAGGCAGGTGGATCTCTGTGAGTTCGAGACCAGCCTGGTCTACAGAGCTAGTTCCAGGACAGGCTCCAAAGCCACAGAGAAACCCTGTCTCGAAAAAAAAAAAAAAATAGAAACGAGTAGAACTGTTCTAATGAAATTATTTGGCCAGTAGAATTTAGTTGGCTGGTCACTGGCATAGATTGTTAGTAAAATTAAAGCTTCCAATCTGTTTCTGTATCTGTATGTTATAATTGATGATTAATTCTTAATACAGACTGAAGTAAAATTTTACAGGGCACAATGATCCTCATATCATTTTTCCAAAGGAAATTGCCTTTTTCAGTTGTAAGAAGTAAGGAGAGCTGTGTATAAGGGTTCTTTTATATTCTGAATGGTGACTTAAAGCTTTTTGAGGACGGTAATTACATACCCACAGAGTATTTGTTAATCATGACAGTACAGTAGCTATATCATTATAGCACAGATTTTGAATAGATGAACACTAAAATCATATCTAATGATTGCAAAGGTATGTCATGATTAATGAGTGGTCTCCAGCATATGTGCCTCACTCACCAGACAGGTCTCCTATTCCTGTGGGAAATCATGGGAGAGACAGTTGAGCAAACCATTGGAGAGGTGTGTTTTTACTGGACATTAGACAGTTAAGAATGGAGACGAATATAAATGTAATGATAGAAAACTGAAGTTGTACCTCACTATCTCATCAGTAGAGAAATCATGTTGCATTTAGAGGGGAAGATTCCCGGAAGATCATACATCTTCACAAACTATGTCCTCTTTAATCATAACAAAATAAACTTGAGGCAGATCAGAGAATTCACTCTTGGAAAATGAATGCGTT